AGCAAGAGGGGCAGTGCCTGGACACAAGTACCGTACTACTAGTGACCTTTAATGCTGATTTCCCCACCTGGGATGACAATCAGCAGCAGCACCTTCACCATCACGCTGACTCTCGGATCATCTTTGCCACAGTAGATCACAGTCCTCTCGATGCTAGGATAGCCGCCAGACGACAATTCCTCCCTTGGTGATGGATTATGGCCAGCATCCTTGCATTCTCCACACTGCTCCTATGTTCGGCGTGTCAAAAAGCACCAATGTAGTACATTAGCTCAAGATTCCAGGAAAGAAACAAAACCCACACTACATAGGCATATTTATCCGAAACAACAGTGGTACCGTAAGGATTTTTTTGGAATGTTGGCAGGAGAGCTGCCAAATTCATTGATCAGAAAGAGGTATTACAAGTAACACCCCCAGAGGAGGAATGCACTGCATAAGGCGAGTGCTAAAAAAGAAGAAATGAGAAAGGGTTGCTCAGTTTATCAAGGAAATCCGGGCGAAAACCTTAGCAGCGCCTAACAAGACTAGGCCTAAAGCACCACAACACATACAACACGTCAGAAGGCCAACACCCCACGACACACCCGGCCGGGCACTCGAGCGCTTACGCCGCTACCAAGGTGCACACCGACAACCGTCGTATCAATCCGGGCTGCCACTAGCATATCCACCAAACTCGACGACACCAAAGAGGAACGCTATGTCCGATAGAGCAAACATATGCCGCCTCAATCCCGCGAGGTTGGCTGACATAACTCGCCCGACGCACTTTGCATGTGGAGGGTGCTTCTGCTGCTCTCACGGAGATGCTACACAAGCCGTTGCCATCCACCTACATGAGCACTGAGTCCCTCTGGCCGAGTCTAACTTCAAGACGATGTCCTCAAGAGGAGACACGATGCCAAGCAAAGCCAGCGTCGTCATCGTCCAACCCGGAAGACCGGATCTAGGGTTTCCCCCGAAGAATGTCAGGCAGGGGAAGGAAGCGGCTGTGACATCGATGCCTCCAACAAGGGGACGGTGCCCGTAGGCGCCGCCATCGACTGCTCCGGCCACAACCGGAGCGCGGCTTTCACCGGCAGCCTCACCCACCCAAACCCGTGACCCAGCCAGCCCTTCCTGCATACCAATTCCATGGCTCACGAGCACTGTTCCACATCTCAGCCCTCAGGCCGCGCCTAGGAGGTCGCCGGCCAGCTATCCCGACAGATCTGCATCGAGAAAGCAAAATGCCCAGATCGGGCTCAGCCCCTGCTCACCACGCCCAGGAGCTTGATGCTCCCGCAACGCCCGCACACCTTCGCGCCGTCCCACGCCCAGCCGACCGCCATACCCGCCGCCGCGATTGAGGCACGCCAGATCCACGCGTGCCCGCACCACAGCAGCTCACACTCCGCACGCGCCGCCCATCCTCCAACTCGCAAGGACGCGCCGCCTGACTCCAGTGCTCGTCAGGCCGCGCCGCACTCGCGCCCTCCACCCGCGCCACCGAGCGCCTCCTCCACCCAGGGGAGCAGCCCCGCGCAGATCCAGCACCAGGCGTGAGGGAAGAGAAAGGCCCGCCGCCGCCGACGCCGTGCGGGCTTTGCCCGATGGCGCTCGCCGGCGGCGGCGGAGGGAGGGGGTGGAGGTCTGCGGCCTGCGGCGGCTAGGGTTTCGCGCCCAGGACACCCCGCGGGGGAGCGGCACGGGGCTGGGGGAGCGAGCGTCCAGCCGGCGGCTGTACCGTAAGGGGTTTTATTATGCTTTATTTGTCTACGGGATTCATTCATACAGAAAGACAGTATCGGGATAAAGGTAAATGATGACACAGGTCATTATTTTCAGACCCGTAAGAGGTTGCTACAGGGAGACTCCATGTCTCCTGTGCTATTAGACATTGCAGCGGATATGTTGGCAGTACTTATTAGTCGAGCTAAAGAGAGTGGCCAAGTAGGAAGTCTCATCCCCCATCTTGTAGAGCATCCTCGAATGAGCATAAACACGAGGCTCAATGGAATAGACATACACATAGCTAAACATATTCGGATAGGGATATGTGCATTATTCTGGGCTATATGGAACACTAGAAATGATATGATTTTTAATGAAGCAAAATTCATTAATTTTTTGCAGGTTATCTACAGAACTACAACCTAGATCCGTATGTGGTCATTACTCACTCATGCATTCCGACTACAGGGAGCTTATGGTTATTGGGTGCAACCAGTGGGGGACGGTAACACAGACTATCTTCAGCCGATTTGGATGGCGAGCTAATAATAGGCTAGGTGTGTAAGCATCGTAACCTGTTCTTTATCGCCGGATGTGGCGTGTTCTTGCCGGTTGTGGCGTTTTACATACTTATTTTCACTTTTTTGCTCGGGTTTTGAGCTTCCTTGGATTTTAAGGTTTTGTTATGCTTTCTAATAATATGGCTGTATGCATCGACTGATGCAGATACTGGAGGTAATCCTTCATTTTCAAAAAAAAAATGTTCAAGCATAGGGAAGTCAAAATTCAGAGCCCTAAAGAATCCGTCATCCAAATCGACCGTTTGGAGACTGATTGTTTTTAGGTGCGGAGAAGGAACCATGTCCCCGTTATCGAACATCACTTCGATGTCACCAGTACATGAACCAGACGAGCTTTATGCCTGATGACATGATGAATCCACGTACAACATTTTTCATAAAAATCACAATCGGTGAAGATCCGAGCCTCATCCAAGGGCAGAGTGCCATCATGCAAGAGTAGCAACTGGTCCCCAAACTGCTTCATTCTATTCTGATCCACCATCTGCCATTCATCATCATCATCAACAACATCATCATCTATAAAGTGCTTGTGGTGTAGGATTATGAAGGGCACAGAGGCCCAGAGATAGTGCCACCTTGACGACAGCAAGCTTGTTCGAACGACTTCTGGTATCGGCAGGAAGGACATGACGAGATGGAGCAGCAGTTCGGGGAGGCTGTTGGTCCCTGGCTCCCTGCGACCTCTTGGAACTGGACAACGGTGTCGACATTTTGTCAAACAGACGGGCTGCATGAATGCGACAAGGCAAATCATAATTAATCAATGCACACTGCAGAACCCTTCAGAACACATGCATGAGAGCATATTGAAGTACACTAATAGGATTGCCGATGTACTTGAGGAAGAAATAGAAAAAAAAACGGTGTCAGCTATTTTCTTTGGTACCATCGGTTCACCAAGTAAATTAATTTTAAATAAAGTGCTGTTAGTCGTCAAAAGGAGAGGACTTCAATTCTAACAACAGTTTTTTTTTAGTCGTCAAGCAGCAAACCGTAAAAACAAACTGAACATCCTCAGAAAAAGTGCCATCACCTGTCCTAAAAATGAAAGTAGAACTAATTTACCGTAATTGTTGAAAGATACTTGACAACAGTTAGTACTCCCTCTGTCTAGGTGTGTTAAGTCATCTTACAAAATCAAATAGCTCCATAACACTTAAGCGCGGTGTATTAACTTCTATCTCGTTTTTGTTTCTTGACATATCAACCAATAAGAGACGAGGAGTGTGTATGCTTTTAATGACTTAAGATAACCAAACACGACATGGAGTGGTTAGTTCATTGCATGCAATGCTATTAATTAGCAAATAAACATTAAAGTCTCTCGTTTTCCTCTCCTCCTTGGTCACGGTGCACAACCTATGACTTACTCACCTAGACGGAAGGAGTAATAATTTCACTTCTTTAACATGGGAAATGATTCATTAAGACTACCCAACTATGAACAGGGTGAGCGCTGCTCTGCTTTAAAGAAGCAATTAAATGTGCTGGGAATCACAAAAATTGTAGAATTAGTGGTAATACCATCAGAAATATCTACTTATTACTACAATATATACTCCCTTCATTTGCAAAATAGATGACTTAACTTTGTATTAACTTTAGTAAAAAGTAAATATAAAATTGGCCACTGCTAAGCGTCGTCCGACTGACGCGGGGCAAAAAATCAACTGCCTCGTGGACCATTGGATCAGGCGTTGTATGATCATTGGATCACACAAGTCCCTTCGTCTCAGAGGGTGTTTGTTTCCAGGGACTTATTGGTCTAGGGACTTAAATAAGTCTCTATAAGTCTCATCTAAACCAAACAGAAGGGACTTATAGGGACTTAAAGTGGGCATTTGGGACTTATGAAATAAGACTCTTAAGAAGGGATTTATAGGTACTTATAGTTGTAATATGGTCTTATAGAGACTTATAAGTCCCAGGAACCAAACAGGTAGGGACTTTTTAGGGACTTGAGACTTATAAGTTGGGATTAAAAAAATCGTAAGACTTATGAACCAAACAGGGCCTCAGTAAAAACTACTCATGCATGCACTCCGCGTCACCAAAAAGAAGAAAAGGAACACCACGTCGAGGAATGAAAAAGATAGCACCCCGCAAAACTTTTAGCTGCCACCGTCGAGCTTCATCGTAGCACCGCTGCCACGCTCTGCAGCGCCAGCTCCGGCGCAGCCGGCGGTGCTCCATCGATGCAGCCGGAGCTGCTATGCAGCGGTCATCGATGCCACCGAAGCTACGATGCAGTAGCCGCCAGAGCTGCTATGCAGAGGTCATCGATGCCGCCGGAGCTGCGATGCAGCGGTCATCGACGCCATCGGAGTTGCACTGTAGCGGCGGCGACACCGCCGGAGCTGCTATGCAGCGGTTGTCGATGCCGCCGGAGCGGCTATTCAGCAGGCGTCGATGCCGCCGGAGCTGCGATGCAGCGGCCACCGGCGTCGTTGGAGCTGCTATGCAACGGCCGTCGGAGCTGTGATGCAGTGGTCGTCGACGCCGCCGGAGGTGTTGCAAGGCAGCATCAGCCATCGGAGTTGAGGAAGATGCCCCGGCGCGCATCCCGACGAGTCGCAGACGCAGCAACACGACCCCCCTTACACCAGCCGTGTTGTTGCATCGAAGCAGCAGAAACAGACGCGTCTTCGCTTGTAGCACCGGTGCTGCAATGCAGAATCACCGGTGGTGACCAGAGATGCCATGGCGTGTGTCTTGACAAGGCGCACACGCAGCAGCACGACCCCCCTTACATCAGCGGTGTTATTGCAAAAAGCAGCAGCAACAATAGACACGCTCGTCAGAGCAGCAGAGACAACACCGGTGGTGCTGGAAAGCATCATCGGCGGCGGCGACCAACAACTTGCAGTCGTAGAGCAGGTGTTGCATTGGAGCGCCAGAATCCACCGAGGAGAGCTGCATCGCAGCGCCCACAGCTTGCAGCTGTCTAGGGGTGCTGCATCGCAGCTCGTGCGGACCCCGAAGAGCGCTGCAGCACGGCTCTCCTGATGAGTGATGACGCAGCAGACGGATGACCCCCCGTGGATGCTGGAGAGAGGAGGGGAGAAGAGGAAGGTGCAGCAGGGGGAGCAGTGGCCGAGCTCGTCGGAGGAGGGTGTGAGAGAGGAGAGGGCCGGCAGAGCTTTGGGGAAGAAGACCCGGAGATGAGTAGATAGCTCGAGAAGATAAGATGTGTTAACGATGGAGCGGATAAGGATGAGGGGAAGAGGAATGGCGCACAGGTCCGCAGGACACGCGTCACGCGCGCGACGCGGCTTGCGCCAGACACAAATCAGTCGGTTGAAATAGATGATTTTCCTATAAAATTAGACTATCTATTTTGAAACGAAGGAGTAACTCCCAATGAAGGCATACCTCCTGCCGCGCGGTCCTCAGCCCTAACCCCAATCGGGAACGAATCCTGATGATAACCGTAACCCGGACTGGCTTGTCGCCATAGGCTAGCGCCCCCAGACGAACGGATAAGCTGTGTTTGGTAGATATCGGAGAATGGTTCACAAACTGCCCGTGGAAGATTAACTGCCCACCACCACCGGTAGCACACTAGTTGTGTGATTTCTCCTAGTGCGTGAATCAATCTCAAACTTATGGGTCTGAGAGATAATTATATGTTGATCAACTAGCAAATCTGCCATGTTCCAGAAATTGCATTTGTCATTCAAATATTTAATAAGTAGTGGGTTTGTGATGCTTAATTGCGCAGTAGACTGGTCACCTATCATTTTGCACACTCCATGCGTATTTTTGAATGCACTTTTGTTTCATTGCCACCTCAAAAGGACCGAAAATGAGTTTTGGTACTGATTGATGGATTTACCACCGGCCCTCAAATTCCAAAAGACATCAACGTTAAAATACAAAGTATGTGTACACATCTTAGAGATCATGAAGTAGAGACAAATGTCTTAGACAGCGTGTTTGGTAGTTTAAGGTCAAGGGAATGCGAATTTATGAGAGGGAGTTGGCCGAGGGATTATACTTGGGAAGTCGACTGTTAGTCCCAGTCCCACGTTTGGTACGGGGTGAGAAATATTTGTGGGAATAGTTCTCATGACCAAAGAAAAGGAAGGATAGGTTACGTGAGATGTGCTCCTATTTTAGCATTGCATCCGCAGATTAGGGAGTAGTTTTCATTTTGACGGTAGATTAGGGAGTAGTTAGCACTGGCAGCTTCGTTCGGAAGAAAGTTTAGGCCGCTGCAAGTATTTATCTAGGATGTTTCTTTTTTCTTTCACTATGGGAGGTGGGCCACCAAATCTGCAACAATATGTTTCTAGACGTTACCTCCCATACCTTCACTGAAATACCAGGGCCCCCGCGTGTCAGATCGATGGGAGTTGGCCTCCTAATTCCCCTTCCTCTGTCCTTCCTAATTCCCAAGCCCCTGAACCAATCAACGGATTATTAGTATCACCAATATTAAACTCCCATTTCTTATCTCCAACTCTCCCAACCAAATATGCTGAGAGCTAGGGATGAAAATGGAGTGGAAACTTTCCGTTTTTCCGGAGGAAAAATGGAAACGGAGAGGAAATATGAAAACGGAAATGGAAATTTGCAAAACAAAAGTGAAACTGAATTTTTTTATGCGGAAACGGAAACAAAAACCATGAATATGGAATTTCTGTTTTTACTATAGACCTATAACTGCTTTGTAGCCCAACCACCAAAGAGAACACAATGACACAATTAGTAGAATGAATCTGAGGCCCAACTTCTACTACCACACATGTACTCAGCTTGATCCTATACGCAATTGTCCGGTACTACTACAGTATTATGCTAAGTTGCTAACATAATGGCATTATTTTATAGCCATGTTAACAACTCATTAAATTTGTTTGTTTTTGTGTGTATTTCTTTATGATTCAAGGGGTTTTTAAGTTCCGATCAATGCCTATTTCTGTTTTCGTATCTGCATTGTATTTGCTCCGTGTCCGTTTTCGATAGTATCTGTTTCCGTATTCATTTCCGGGTTTCTGTATTTATTTCCGCTTCTGCAAAAGAATATGAAAACAAATATGACAACACTCAGTTCCGTCCGTTCCCGCACCGTTTTCATCCATACTGAGAGCACTCCACGTCTCTAGCTATTTGCCCACCAATTACATGCCTTTATATATACTTGCCCTCGAGACTTAATAATTAAAACAATGATTTTTGTATATTTATCTCATTTTACAACAACATACAGGTGCCAAGCTTATTGTTGTGATATACTGTCTTCCAAGGTGTGGTAAACTAACTGGTAATATATACAAGGCGGAAATACTAAGGCTAGTCATAGTGGGGAGTAACTTAGACTTACATATATATGTTACTAGTCTATGTTACTATCTTCATAGTGGGTAGTAATATACATATCTATATTTATTGTTTTATAGACTCATTTTACATTGGAAAGCGCTATGTGATGGTAACATATTACTACCTCTCTCTCAGTTTACAGGGCGTGCGCGTACCCCTAGGTCGTTAATTTGACCAACTTAATACAGGTCATATATTACAAAAAATATACCAATGTAAACTTCAGATGCTCTATTTTCAAACCGTATAATTTTTGTGTTATATAGTTTATATTAAGGTGATAAAATTGGCAATCTAGATATACGCGTAGGACTTATAAACTGAAACGGAGGTAGTATGTTACTCTATTTGCCTCTCTTCTCTTTAATTACATGACACATCATTTTTTTTGCTTATGTGGCATCTATGTTGCTACTTATGTTACTTCCACTATAACTAGCCTAATAGTCACAAATATGCATGTTTACTCCATACATGGGGGCCAATTAATTTGGAGTGGATCTCTCGGGTATGTCATGTCACGCCTCACTGTGCTTACATGGGCTGGTATGGGGTGGGCACTAGCACCAGCGGGTGCCTACCTCGTCACGCCTCACTGTGCTTACATGGGCTGGTATGGGGTGGGCACTAGCACCAGCGGGTGCCTACCTCCAACTCCCATTCCAGAAATTGCATTTGTCATTCAAATATTTAATAAATAGTAGTGGGTTTGTGATGTTTAATTGCGCAGTTAGACTGGTCACCTGTCATTTTGCACACTCCATGCTATTTTTGAAGGGACAATTCCATTTCTTCTCTTAACTTGAACCCACACCTGGCATTTACCCCTAATTTTCGAGTATGCTCAAAAATACCCCTCTTCCGTCTGGTACCGTTATAGGAATGCCCTTCCGTACCGTTTCCGCCAGGTCAAAGGGCTTTGACCGTCTCCATGGCATTTCTTGGACAATTATACCCCTCCTTACAAGTGGGGCCAATCAGTAGAAAAAAAAATTGAGGCCCACCGTACCGGTCTGCCATCCTTCAACCTTCTGACGCACAGGGAAACGGAAGAGAGGAGCTCGGGCTCCGGCCATCGCCGGAGACTCGCGGCCATAGAGCGCTCCCAGAGGACCATAGCGAGACCGCGACGTCCTGCCGTACCCTAGAGAGATGAGCCCTGCGCTCGGGGGCCAAGGGAGGCGTCGCCCTGCTCAACAGATGCGCGGTCATGGCAGGGCGCCGTCGGGGTCCACCCCACGGCCAACCATTTGGAGAGGGATAATGCTTTCCACGACGAGGGAGGTGCTCTGTCGGAAGGAAGCGCAGAGGGAGGCCCCAAGGCTCGGCATCGACGGCACACTTCTTCTCTTCCCCAACTCCGTCAGCGTCGTCTTTCGTGCGTGTGGCAAACGGACTCCCAGAGCTCAAAAATTGCGTCCATGATCTTCGCCACAGTTTAATTTGTTTTCTCGCCGAAGGGTGCCCGGGATAGCCCTAATCGCTGGCGCCCCTTTCCTTCTTCCTCGGCTCCGGTCCACCGCTGCTGCGGCCGATCTCTGGCCATGGTGAGCCTCTGTCTCTACGCCATATTTCTCATGTTCCTTGGGGTTTCCTGAAGTCATTTTTGTCGTTTCTTTGGAGCCGCACGATCCCGAGCACATCTTCCTACGAGCTCCAAGCTCCGTCGCCCGCTGCCCTCATCGCCGCTGCTCGAGCTCACTGATGCCCGTCCCCCCGGCCACCCCACGCTCCGTCCACCTAGGTTCACTCTGGATTCGCGCCAGCAGCCTCGCAGGACCACTCTGCAGCACCTAGACCGCCAACATCCTCGTGTATGTCGCCGCCGTGCCTTCGTGCACGCGCCGGTGTTTAACCACTATTGTTAAAAACTTGTTTAATTAGCCTAACCCTCTCTGTTAATTATTACATTAACCCATGGACACTCTAGTAACCAAAACAGGTAATAAATATCTTAAAGAGACAATGACATGTGGGCCCCCAACTCCAATTTGACTAGTCCCTATTGACAGGTCTTTATTTTTTTTTCTTGATTGGCCCCACTTGTAAGGAGGGGTATAATTGTCCAAGAAACGCCTTGGAGACGGTCAAAGCCCTTTGATCTGACGGAAATGGCATGGAAGGGCATTCCTATAACGGTACCAGATGGAAGGGGGGTATTTTTGAGCATACTCGAAAAATAGGGGTAAATGCCAGGTGTGGGTTCAAGTTAGGGGGAGAAATGAAATTGTCCCATTTTTTAATGCACATTTGTCTTATTGCCCCCTCAAAAGGACTAAAATTGAGTTTCGATACTGATTAATGAATTGATTCAGTCACCATCGCTGTTCGTTATGTAGTTCCATCCACCCGTGCGCCTACCGTTTAATTGTTCGTCCTGGCCCTGCCGACATGGATGCATCCCGTGATACAACATATCTTCATTTTCTAGTTTTTTTTTCTCATCAATTTCTCGTCGACTTATTATCTTCTTGGCCGAGTCGTAATACAATCAAACCAGTTTTTTCTCTCTATATATACTGCATTTACCACCGGCCCTCAAATTCCAAGAGACATCAACGTTAAAATACAAAATATTACACAGTACAGATCATGAAGTAGAGATAAACGTCTTAGAAGCACTCCACGTCTCTATCCTACTTGTCCACCAATTGCATACCTTTATATATACTTGCCCTCGA